ATCTCCCCTTATATAGTCTAGGGCAAGGTTACAGATGGTATGCCGAATGATATGAATCTACGGTTTCCTAGTTTGTTACAAAAAGATCCTATTGGATCGATTGGGTTATCACGATTTGCTTGGTCCCTAGGCTAACTAGGCAACATCTTGTCTTCCAAGTAGTCGATGTGTCCTGTCTAGTTTGGGCGTCTTCCTTAGCAGGCTCGGCCCATCCTATCTTGGCCAAGCTTCTCTCCATGCGGCGAGGGTAACGGGCCCCAAAATACCAACACCGCCGATCTTTGTCCCAAACCAAACCGGTAGTAAAGATGATTTTACCGCCAGTTTTATTCTCAACTAAGAGGATATATTATCATCAATATAATGGTTTTAACAATACCAGCGATGTATGTTGATGGAAAAAACAATTTGTGTAATAGTGACGGGTTTGTTTGAGCAGTTAAACTTCTCATTCGTCTAGAAGTTGTTGCATCACCCACTTGTTAAAATGCGACCAGCTTTATTTAGAAATAGCTACCTCATCCACCTCAATAAATCCATTTGAGCTTCGTGTGATATTTTTCCCCACCTCCTTGAGGTGACAGCATCATGATGTTGCTTGGGAGACGATGACAGATAGATATTGGAATGCACTCACAGAAAAATAATTCATCGATTTTCAGGTCCATCACGATCGACAGGTTATAAATACACTCACGGCAACCTTTGCCGGCAGCTGGTCGGGGTGACCTCGGACCATTTGGAAAAGAAGCATTTTGAGAAGAGGCTCTTTGTGATCAGGTCATTCTTATTCTCATTCGCTCAGATGCATACTCCAGCATAAAAAACAAAGAACTCGATGGCATCCCTTTCTTGTGTTTTTTGTCCTATTTTGAGAGGATATTTCCTGCATAGTTTCTGATGTGAACGCTACGAAACTACTTGCTTTTTGTTACCGTTTCAATCTCCTGCTTAAGATATGACTTAACTTCGCATCGTTCTCTTAACTAGACTTTACATAGCATCAGAAGTACCACTCTTGGCTGACTAGTATAGAAATGGTCAATACGTCATTACAAAAGCTGGCAAGTTCTCATTTCACGAAGCCTCCCTTAATACAATCATATGTCCTTAGATAAATTATTGATCATCATGTGCGGATAACATGTGTCTCCAATAGTACATTATTTTCTGAACCTAGACAAATACTTCCTTCTAGAGGTCAGGATAAAGGCGTAAAACTTTAAGACGGGCAGAAAAAAAAACATATTCCACCTGTGATCCATTATTACAGGCCTAGTCCATCATTTAGTTACCACACAGGGCGCTTGTGGTGGATCTAGAAAGGGACAAGGGGGGCTAAATAATACTCCATTCTGATCATAAGTTGTAATGTAAAACGCAAATTCAAATGACTCCATTCTTTGTATCAATCTAGATCATATAGTTTTCTTTTGCCCCTCAGATCCATCTCCACTAATATTCTCTAACATCTCCAGTACAAAGGACCACATGAAAAAAACATGTGCCAATGTTTTGTGACGCATACCCAGCCCACCATGTATGACTAGGCATAGCAAGACTAGTTTCTTAGTTTTTCCGTCTCAGAGGAAAAATAGCACCACCACGTAATTGCTCTACAAGCATCTCATCATGATTTTGAATGAGTTGATCGTTCCTCTTGCATGAAGCACTAACAGTATTGACAATCGAGAAGTGACATAATTAAAGAAATCAAAGGTTGAACCACAACACTTGGCTACAGAAACTACCACAAGCTGCAATTGATGAGCAAAACAATGGCTGTAAAAAGAAAATGGGTTTTCATTCAATACCAGTCTATGTAACCCATGAAACTGTCCTCATATTTGAATCACCATCATATCCTTGGCCTCTAATCCTGGAAATAGATAGACCATATCTTGCAATCATAGCATCCAATGCTTCCTTTAGTGAAGGTGATGTGGTGTCATCAGAAACACGCTGAATGCCAAGGAACCTCTCAATCACATTTCCTTTATCATTGACAAACATACAAGAGAAAAGGGAAAGTATAGTTAGTTGAAAACAACAATACAAAACCAATGAAATATAAAAATTAAGAGGTGATATGTACGTCACAACCATAGCCATTTGTTCCTCATCAACAAGCACTGCAGAAAAACTATCACCTATTTCAATTTTGATTAACTTTGTCTCCTCTGTACAAGCCCTAACCAAATCTATCTGAACTACTAGACAAATCATTTGATTATTCCTTGGAGCATTTTCACCGGTCACAAGTGCAACACTAGGATCCTTCTTTCGATATCATTGAAGCATCTCCATAAAGATCGCATTATTTATTGATGTTTTAGACTCATCATGTCCATGAAAGGCCAGAGCTTGCAAACGGAGAAATCTGTTGGGGTTTAGTCCCACATCGTGTAGTGATGGTCGGGGAGCACAACATATAAGGCGGGAAAACCCTCACCTATCAGGCTAGTCTTTTGGGTTGAGTAAGGCCCAAAGGCCTTATATGTTGTAGCTCCGGTGGACCTAGGACCTGTGGGAGCGCAAGCTCGTGGTAATGAGCCAGGCCGGCTGTAAGCCAGCTCCAAGATCGTGAACTCGGTGGTCACCACCTGTTCTAACATTTGGTATCGTGAGCCCATGGTAAAAAAAAGCTAAACCCGATAAAAAAATCTCGAGCGTCACATATGGCGAGGGCACCCCGATGTGTGACTAAGGGGGAGATTGTTGGGGTTTAGTCCCACATCGTGTAGTGATGGTGCACAACATATAAGGCGGGAGAACCCTCACCTATCAGGCTAGTCTTTTGGGTTGAGTAAGGCTCAAAGGCCTTATATGTTGTAGCTCCGGTGGACCTGGGACCTGTGGGAGCGCAGGCTCGTGGTAACGAGCCGGGCCGGCTGTATAGTGGATGATTGGATTCAGTAGCTCACCGTGTAGACAGGAGACAACCAAACAGGATCATAGGAGTGCAGCCGTGCACTTGTGCTACCATGCAGGAGAGCAGGGCTGAGAAAGTGAGGAGGCCAGGACCAGGAGGGGCAGCCGGCAGGCGACCTGGCAGCAGCCTGGACCTAGCCACGCACCCGTGCTAGAGAACTGGCTCAGCTGGCTGGCTGGAGACCTGGCCATGGCTGGCTGCGGCTTGGAGGAGGCGGTCAGGAGGCTTGCAGGAGGCAGCCGCGGCTAGGAAGGCAGCGATAGCGATGCCGATCGTCAGGAATGAGCTGGCACGGCGTCGGTACTCACGAATTGTGACTTGACTGAGCAGGGAAGTGGCCGAACGTCGGGCTCCTCACTTGTATCGGGCGTATAGTTGCAAACGGTGACGGGCACGCCACGAGCCCGCTGGGCTGCCTGCGCCGCAGGCCAGCCTTAGCCCGTGCCGCAAGCCCGCATACCCGACGCAGGTTTATGCGGCTAATACGCATCGTCCGGCGGGCGCCGCGAACCCGTCTCGACTCGATGCAGCGAAGTGCGAACCTCCCCCTCCGCTGCCGCCGCCTCTGCTTCCACGGCTGGCTAATACGTACTCTTCCAGCATTGCGCTGCTGGACCGCTTCGGGCGCCTGCTATGGTTTGGAGGGGGGTTGTCGGGCTGGGTCTGAACTCTGAAGACCAGCTCCATGTTTTTTTTTGGCTGAGGATAGGGGCTGCAGGACAACTCTAGGAAAAAGATTGATTTATGACAACTCTAATGCACACCAGTTGTTTTCCTTTTTATAAAATTCCATCAGACTTAAATAAAAAGATTGACTTAGGACATCTTTAGAAATTGATTTATTTGTGGATTGAGACTGGTTTGTTAATCTGTTTACCTAATCAAATGATTTGACTTAGGACATCAGACTTAAAACTTTTTGTCATAATCTGTTCTATATCCGTTCTGTCATAATTTGTTTACCTAAACTTGTTTTTTAAGCAGAATAATACCACGAAGTAATGTCACAGTCCGGGGCCTCAAATGTTTCTAGGGCCTTTCAAAGGCGAAACATTGACAGGAATCAATTTGAATCAGCCATTGAGCAGTATTGTCTCTGTCTTATCTTCAAATGCCAAACATTGAAATCAGTCCCTTGCTAATGTGTGGTGATATGTGACTTAGATGCTACTCCATCTGTTCTAAATTATAAGTTGTTTTGACTTTTCTAGAAATATAGTTTTTATATGCATCTAGATATGTTGTCTACATATACAGTAAAGACAACTATGTATCTTAAAAAGCTAAAATGACAAAATCTGTAACAAAGGGAGTAGTAAATGTCTATGTATTATCTTTAAATTAAATGCCAAACCGTAAGCCCTGTCACTGGAGCAAGGGTGTGAAATTAAAACGTTCGACGGGAAATATAACTAAACAAGGGCTGGACCTCGCTGCTCCATCAATGTGGCAGGACGCGCTACACTTCCAGGGTGTGCATCGTGGCAGGTTGGCGATTAAGTGAAAGAGGACGAGACATGAGACAGTTAGGAAGTAGTTTGCAGTTGAAGGAAGGAGCAGATATGGATGGATGGATGGATGGAGATTCAGTGGTTAAAAGTACAGCAGGTCTTGGATCATGTCTTCCTTGTTAATCTGCAGGTCTTGGATGTTGGATGTGGAATTGGGGGGCCCTTAAGGGAAATAGCCAGATTCAGGTAATGAGTTAAAAAAATAAACTGCCATATTATACAGATGTCTCAATGCTATTTGTTATTCTAGCTCAACAGATATAACTGGACTGAACAACAACGCTTACCAGATATCAAGGGGCAAGGTTTGGTTATTCTTATTTATTCTTCAAGAAGTACAATATTAAACTTGTTAGCATATATACTTTTGCGTCAGATGCAATATAGGCTATTTGCATTTCAGGAGCTCAATTTTTCGGCCGGTTTGAGTGAGCAGTGCAACTTCATAAAGGTGAAGTTGCATGCGTTATCAGTAAATTATAATGGTTTTCGTCGGTTCATGACCTTTCTTTATACTAAAATCTAATGTGCCTTACTATCTTTTTTGGCAATTGTAGGGAGACTTCATGAACATACCATTTCCTGACAACACCTTTGATGCAGCCTACGCAATAGAGGCCACAATTTATGCTCCTGATGTAGTACGACTCACAAAATAAACTGCAAACTAGAGTTATGTTTTTGAGTGAACACACAGTCCAGTGTTGCTGACATTGTTTTTGGTATCTGGCTATTACAGCTAGGTGCCTACAGGGAGATATACCGGGTGCTGAAACCTGGTCAATATTTCGCACTAGATGAACTGTGCTTGACTGATAAATTTGATCCAAACAACGCTAAGCATAGGGACCTCAAGGCCAAAATTGAGCTCGGCTGTGCCTTGCCTGACGTCCGTACCACTCGTCAGTGCATCCAGGTTATGAAAGAAGCTGGATTCGAGGTGCTGTACTAAAACCATCAGGCTATGGTTTCAATGAGACAGATCTAGATCAAATTACTTTGGGATATATAGCGAAATGACTCTTATGTTTCATTTTAGATTGTCTTGAAGAGGGATCTTGCTGAGGACTCTCCATGCCCATGGTACTGGGACATAGATGCCCACCTTTTCTCATGGAGCAGCTTCAGTTACTCTGGTGTCGCAAAGTTCCTCATCATGCGTGCAATTGTAAGTTACAGGACTGTACTGAGACATGTTTTTAGGTAGTCGTATGATCTGCAGGCTTTTGTGGGTAAGAATGTCTCAAGCTACTGCTTTATGGTTAATTTTATTGCAGGCTGGTACACTGGAGTTCCTCCGGATTGCTCCGAAAGGCAACAGTAAGCTTGTTAGCATGATGCATACTGCATCCAATGACCTCATCATAAGCTGGCGGTAAGTCTTGAATGGAAACTACAATGTCCTTATCAGAATCATAGAGTTGAGCAACCAAAATAAAATTTGAAAGAAATAATGGACGATGCATGATCACAGGGAACAGATCTTTACAGTGACCTTCTTTGTCCTTGGCCGGAAACCTCTCAAGGAAAGTGATGTTTAAAGCAACCTACAATATAATGTCTAATGGAGAAAAGAATAAAGTTTCGTCGGATCCTTCTCCATTAAGCCTTATAAGATATATATATGCTACGGAAGATGCTTGCTTGCATATGTAATCATATACAGTACTAGATTACTGATTGTGATGTATTTGAAATAATCATATTTGCCTTCAAATGTTATAGAAAATGTTTGTTTGCACATACACTGTACCAGATTACTAATTAGATTAAGATCTAATTAGTATATTGTAATGTTGAATTGTGACTCAAATAAGTATATTGTAATGTTGAATTGTGACTCAAATAAGTATATTGTAATGTTGAATTGTGACTCAAATACTACTTAGATTAGGCCAAAGGGCGCCTAGCTCAAACGGTTAGGTGACCCAGCGGCACTCTGCAGGTCCTGGGTTCGACTCTCCGTGGGAGCGAATTTCAGGCTGAGGTTAAAAAAAATCCCCTCGTCCGTCCCCATAACCAAAGCACTGAGGGGCACCGGCCCAATTCTCACTTGGGCGACGGAAAACCACCGTGTAAGGGTGGGGGCGGGGGTTTGGGGGTTTTCTCGGCCGGGTGAGAAGGTCCTTCTTGTTAACCCCCCTGGTAGAGGTTTTTTTTACTACTTAGATTAGGATCTGCGATAATGCAACTAACAGAACGCCCGCCTGTGACTTTACGTCCGGACGCGGCTCCCAAGGAGAAATCCCCATTCGAACGGATGCTTCCGACCGCTCACTCCAGCACGCGATGCTCGCCCTCGCTTCCTCCTACCCATTCTTATCCCTTCCGCGCTCACCCACCCACCCCGGCGTGCGCGCTCCCCACCCCGGTGTCCTCCACCCCTACTCCGGTGGTTCCTTCCCCCCACCAAAGCGGCCTCCTCCCCCACCACGGCCGCTCCCCTCCCCCCACCCCGGCATCCTCACCCACCGAGAGTGCCCAATGCCCGCGGATTGAGTGGCCCTCTCCGCCACCCCGACGAGATCCATGGAGGTGGCGCAGCGGTGTTGCTTGGGAGTGGGCGTGGCTCTCCCCACCCCAGCGCGGCGCCCACCCCACCCCAGGCAATCCCCTCTCTCACCCGGGTGACCGAGCTCCCTCCCACCCGGCGGCCGAAATCTACTGCCCCAGCCTTCCCCTCCCCTATGTTACATGTGTATGTTTTAAATGTTTCAAGAGTTTCAGATGTATGTTGCATTTATTTCACATGGATGTTGTAAAAATAGATCGGATGATGTTGCACATGTTGCATATGTTGCAATTGTTTCAGAGGCATGTTGCAAGCATATGTTTCAAGTGTTTTAGTTGTTTTAGAGGTTTCCGGATGCATGTTGCAAGTGTGTTTATCTGGATGTTGCATATGTTTCACACATACGCGTTTCAGATGTATGTTGCAACTATTGTATTTATATGTTTCAAAGTAGATCTTGTGTTACATCTCTCCTCCCCACCTTCTGCTGCATTGCCTCAGTGTGTCCTCCTCCTAGCGCCAGCAGGGCATCCATACGACGCTGCGGCCGGGTCCTTCCGAATCGGAGGCGCCGCGCGCCATTCCCCTCTTGTCACATGGGCCCCGCGTGGAGCCTGAAATGGAGGGATCAGTGACGTCTCGGCACTAGCACTACCGTAGGATCAGTGGTGGAGCTACAGGGTGATCCCCCGTGGGCTGCAGACCACCATGTGCTCGGCCTGCCAAGGCCCATAGGATCTAGAATCCGGGACATCCAAGCCTCTGTGAGCCTGTTTGTCGCTCTGTCTTTGCGTCTGTCTTCGTCCCTTTGCAGCGATGCTTCCTATTCTTGTACTAGAGTAATGGTAAAATATTACAATTGGAAGTGAATTATGGTAAAATATACCAAACACCACCAGCATGTTCAAAATTGCAAACCACGTGGGAGCCATTAGCAACTTAAACAATTATGGTAGAAAATGTCACCCCTAAAAGATCTGCTGCTACTTTTTGACGAAGAAAGGCATGCGAATTTCCCAAGTCAATCAATATAAAACTATGTCGTGGCCCTAAAAATTGCATTTAAACCTCAGTGTCATGGGAGTATGTTGACCAAAAATGGCTTCCTTGGAGATATAGCAACAAACAACTCAGAAGGGTCTAACTGAGGAACAGCAGAATCAGCAAGAGTTCCCAAATCTCATGAACCACATCAAGCTGCACTTTGGTTACACATGAATCAAATGCTGCTTTATCGAGGACAACACGATCGAGATGCTTGTTCAATTTGAGCACATCAAGCTTCTGATCAGCCACCGCCGAATCCTTTTTGTGGCATCCACGAATCCGATGCCACTTGGAGAAGCTTCCAGCTCTGTGGCCCATCACATCCTTGAGCTTCTTGTTGTCAGAGAAGGGATTCGACCAGTTTTGGTCGAACTCTGAGAAACGCCTCTGGAACTCGTCGAGGATGAGCTTTCTCTTAAGTTCCATGGCACTGTGGCTGCATAATAAATGGCCGGCTGAGGTGGGGTTGCAGCAGTTCAGACTCCTGGGTCGTGGATCCACAACACAAATCGATCAAACTGGAATGGAATTACGGAATCTCGAGCCCCAAATGGAAGCTCATTGATAGAATTCACGTTAGACCGACCAATTATATATAGTGTTCAATCGATGGATGGGATAAGGGGAACAGAAGACGACCCATGATCGATAAATCTGATAACAAAATTATATAGGGATAAATAAATAAGAGGAATAGTTCAGAGAAAAGCAAGGGCAACTTTGAGGAGTTCGAGTTGAGTTGAGATTGAGTTCTCTGTTACACTTATACCTTGTTTGTTCACCAGGAGCTTTCTCATCAACTAAACAGCTACAGTAGTTGCTCCATTCTGGGCTGCTGACCCATAGCTTGGGGGGGTGCTGAACGCTTGGTCACCCCTGATCTGATCATCATATGGCTTGCTGACACACAGTTTCGTCATCATGTCAGAATATAGTATGTTTCTTGATGATTCAAGAAGTCTTTTTTTTTGTTTGTTTCCCGTTCCGATGTTATACTGCAATGCAACAAAGCGGGTGGTGCTCCCAACTCGATCATGGGAATTTCATGTGGGTGGAGCCAAAATTTCGTGCGGAGATTACAAGGCATCTGGGTAATATAATTCAACGCATCCCCATCTGCATCATTCATCTGTTGCCTTTTATATGGGTTGGGTTAATTGTCCCACACCATAACCCATCCCATCTTTTTTTATTAAGCACAGATAATTTGGATGAATGTGTGATGGTGACGTTGTCCGAATGTTTTTATCCATCTTTCATAATGCATCAAGTGCACTGCTTGATCATGACAGAAAAGGTTGTTACCTAGTATCTAACCAAGTAACTGTAGCACCCGGTTTTAAGAACAAAACTAGATACACACCATATGTGAGCCCAAAGAGTCAAATCTCACATATAACTTCAAATAAGGGTAATATCGAAAGACAATGCTCAATATATAACATATTTAGTATAAATGATATAACCTTAGACAGCAAACAGCGGAAAGACAACTCTTATCTTCGGGTGAAAATTCCAATTCCACAGGAACAACTAATTGGTTGATCACAAGCCTAATTTCTCCAAACTCTAGCAATCTGGTACCCATCCAGGATTTTTATCCAAATAATTGAAAAATAAGGTAAGCGTAAGTACATGTGGTACTCAACAAATATATCATGGGGTTCATGAGGCTCAAATGCTGACACTGGTTTAACTGCGATTAGCTTTTAATGAGTCGTATAAAGGATATAACCTTAGACAATAAACAGCGGAAAGACAACTTCGATGTTCAGGTGAAAACTCCAGTTCCACAGGAACAACTGACTGGTTGATCACAAGCCTAATTCCTCCAAACTCTTGCAATCTGGTACCCATCCAAAATTTTTCTCCAAATAATTAAAAAATAAGGCAAGTGTAAATACATGTCGTACTCAACAAATATATCATGGGGTTCATGAGGCTCAAATGCTGATACTGATTTAACTGTGATTAGCTTTTAATTAGTCATCTTTTAGCAATTGGGTGGCAACAAGTTTATTCACAAGCCCATATAAACACATGATCAGGTAAACATGAATAATGAATAGCATAAACAGTAATCATTAATGAGCATCTTTATCATCAGTGTTTATCATCTATTCCATAAGGGTTCCAAGGTCGCTCGTGACCGTGAGCACGACTGATATACCAGTTTTATAGTCTGCAGAGGTTGTACACTTTCACTGTGAGTCGTGATTTACCCTTTCGCCCGAGGTGATCAGCCTCTTGACCCACTATCAAGGAAGGTCGGCAGGGTTCAGTATGAGGCCTTTTAAAGGTTCGTCTAACAAGTTAGGGTCATTAGATTCACTCGGCAAACAGATATAGGAACCCCTGTAGAAATGGCACAATGACACGCAGCCTATACACATAAGAGTAGAGGCTATCGTATACCCGATTTATCAAGCCATTCTTATGCCATAAAGGTAGCCTCTAACAAGCTAGGAAAGGTCCTCATACTGAGCTAAAGCCAGAGCCATGTAGCCCTCACAGCTGTACTGTAAGTCCTGGATGTTCGCTTACAGATAAGTCCTTAAGGAGAGAAATCTAGAGCACCATAAAAACAACACAATGCTCTAGCCCCCTGATTCCATATTGCTAAAAAGCATCTTTTAGTGTTTATTGCATATACCATTAATCAAGTTACGAGATCATGGTCTTTAATTGATCACTAGCATCATACTACCCAATGCAATAACCTAAAGGTATCAAGGTACAGGGTAACATGGTAGTAGGAAATCCTTAGTGGTAGTCAAGGTAGACACATGCATATGATTAGATTATTAAAGTGAATAGGATAACAAGGATGATCCCATGCTATACTTGCCTTATATACTTCCTCAAACTTTCTCACACTTTACTTCTGATCATCAACTTCTGATCTCCAACACTCACCGACTGGACATGATCATAAAGCACCACATAAGCATCCATGCAATCATACACGAAGCAAACAATAGA